GAATAATAAGACCATGAATAAGCATAAAGAAGAGATCACTGATTCTGTAATAGACTTTTCCACTGTTCATTTCTTGCAAAAGATTCTAATCATTGACTTTCTCTTTATCTCCAATCCATTATTGAGAATTTATAACTATCTCCAAATCAGAGTTCTGAATGATCATTTATTTTTTGCTCTAAGAAACAGATAACCCCCAAGCCCCAGTAAACTTATTCTACCTTCTGTCTTCCACATAGAGGTTATTGGATCTTTGTTCATCCTGTTTACCAGATTTAAAACTGCTAATAGTTTTAATTCTCATTATTTACCTCATATAGTGACCCAGTCACTAGCCAAATCCCATTAATTCCATTCCTAAAAGAGCTTCCCCTTTCTCTTCTCTAATTTCATGGACATTTATAGAGTTTAATATTCTGTTACCTGGTATGTCTCCTTGGTCACAGTGCCAGACCTTCCTCAAACAAGGTTAAGATAATGCCATTTCTTTGCTTGGTAATCTTGTATACATTATCATAGTCTGGAAAATAACGGCTCTATCTTATAAACCTGACACTTAAACCTAAGCCTGTTGTCATTGGAATAAAGCTAAAATCATGGCTTTTGCCTCTGTCTGAAAAAGGTTGGTTCATTCTTACAAATAACATGAAATCTGTTGTTACAGCTTAAAAAGTTAGCAATGTTAAGTTTCTTTCAAATAGATTGAAAGTAGATATTAACAAAATGGAAGAGAGTACATATTACCTCAAACCGCCATGTTTCTTATTTTCTATTATTGTTGCTACTTTAATTTACAAGCATGTGACAATTTTCAGACATGATTATAAAGTCAGATCAAATTTCTTCTAATCAGCTCTGCCTTTAATACCATGCATCCTGATGTGAGCTGAAGAAAAATATTTGGTCACCAATACACAGTGATCAATACACAGTGATGCAGAGTTCATCTTTGCCTCATCCTCTGAAACAACTTGCTTTATAAGCATCCATTGTACCTGCTTAGTTTAGTGTGCTAAACGTTTTTGCTTTTTAGTTTTCATTATTGTTAACAAATACTTACAAAGACCATCGCAAGTCACATGAAAATTAAACAATTTAAGATGTTCTATACAAAGCTTTTTGAGATTATTAAGAGTGTTTAAAAGCTTTGAAGATTTGAAGAAGACTGATCAGAAAGAGGGAGGCTCTAGAGAAGTTTATATTTCTACATGCAGTGCCGAGATGACAGTGTGAATGGGGAAGTTGGCTAAGTGACAAGGAGTTGTTGAAACAAACACTTGATCAGAGTAGAAGTGATACTGGTTGGGAGCAACTGAAAGAGTCATTTCAAGTTGAGATTGGGGACTTGAAAACCAGTGGGAAGTCAGCGATGGAACATAAAGCAGGAGTAGATAAGCATCAGGGAGGAAAGCAATTTTTTCCGACACACTTGAGACTGATTGCAGGGAAGACCGTAAGAGACCAGGGAGGAGAATAAGGAGGAAATTGCAGCATAAGTCAAAGATGAAAAATTGTCAAAGTAAGTGTGAAGATTTTTTTTCACTAGCAAAAAGGTGCTCTTATTGAAATGTGGCACACAGATAGGCTCACCTCAGGGGAGCTAAGGTGAGCAAACGTGCCGGTGACAGATATTTTTCTTTCCCTTTCAATAAAGTGTGAAGTAGAGCCGCCTGACAGCAAGTCAACACACAGAGTTTTGAAATGTATTTGTGTTTATTGGAATCTGCTGCGTTTGCTGGTACCTTTGGATGCAGTCAACAATAACTTACAAGTCGATGGCTTGGACATTTTCTTCAGTATTTGTAAAAAAAAAAAAAAAGCAATGGTGGTAATGAGAATAATGATTTTGTAAGGCTGGTCATTCAGCTTTCTGCCTTCCTGGGAAACAGTTTCAATAGCTGTTAAGATCTTAAATCCAGTGTGGCAGGGACAGGGCGAGATGAGATTTCCCTCCACTCATAACCCATATTTTCTCAGGTTTCAAGGATGAGAAAGCTCAAGTGGTAGAAGATGCATAACTTGTCTAGAGAGGTATGACTAGTTCCGTTGGGTCATGACGGCATGATGGTGGAGTCCATTTTCCACTTCTTTATTCCAAAACACCATGTAGTAAACAGCCTGACCTTTGACATTTCTACCATCAAGGTACATCATCTTCCCTTGGTTTCTTTTACTAGGAATTGTTGACAGTGAAGATACGGTCCTCTTTTTTTAGTTTGAATATTTTCACGCCTTTCTAATATATTCACACTCCACTATCACTATTTTGAGCCTCTTGAAAATTCATTTTGAGTCTTTTAACACCTGGGCCTCACAACTCCCTAACTTCTCACTTTTAGTCATTTGCCAAACTCTGTTAATTTTTTTTTTCAAAATAAATTTTACTTTTTTAGAGGAGTTTTAGATCCACGTAAAAATGAGCAGAAGGTAGCGTGATTTCCCATATGTCCGTTATGCCTTCCCCCACACATATATCATCCACCCCATTATCATCCCCTACCAGAGTGAGACAGTTGTTGCAAATGATGAACCTACTTTGGCACATCATTATCACCCAGCATGTGCAGCTTTCCATTAGTTTCATTCTTGGTGTTCTGACAATATAGATTGGGAAATTTTATGGTGACATTTATCTATCGTGATAGTATCAGAGAGTAGTTTCACTGCCCTGAAAGTCCTCTGTGTTCTGCCTATTTGTCCCTCACACTTCCATAATTTCTGTCAATCATTGATCATTTTACTGTCTCCATAGTTTGGGCTTTTCTAGAATGTCATATAGATGGTGACAAACATTTTGTAGCCCTTTCAGATTGACTTATTTTGCTTAGTAGTAAAAGATAGACATTTACTTTGTCTCCATGTCTGTTCATGGCTTGATGGCTCATTTCCTTTCAGCTGCATAATATTTTATGATCTGAATGTACCACAGCTTTCCATTCACTTACTGAAGGACATGTTTGTTGCTCCCAAGCTTTTACAATTTGAATAAAGCTACTGTAGGTATCTTGTTGCTGGTTTTGTATAGATGTCAGTTTCTACTCCTTTAGGTATTTTTAATTTTATCAGAAGTCACCAAACTGTCCTTCCAAGTAGCTGTACCATTTTGCATTCTGACTTGCCACAAGTGAGAACTCTTATTGTTCCACATTTTCCCCAGCTTTTGGTGTTATCTATAGTCTGGTTTGGCCCTGTTGATTTTCTGTTACCCTGTGTAATTCATGAATCCTCTTCATGGACATTGTGACCTCCATAATTCAGAATGAAATTTGGTTTTCTCAGAACGACTTTAAGAGGTGATGAACAGTTTACCTGTTTTTAATAGGTCTTTCTCTCTATTGAGTCCAATTTACCCAGACTGCCGTATTCAAAATACTCTGGTATTTTGCTTTTCTATTCAACAGTCACCAGTGGCTTTGTTTAATAAATAAAACCTCTTAACTTGCCATTTAAAACTGTCCAAGAGCTGTCTCCAACCTACTCTTCAAACTTAATTTCCTTTAACTATAATCCTTCCTGTCCCGTTCTTTCCAGGCAAACCAAATTTTTATCTTTTTTCTACATCAACCTTGTATTTTTATTCACCTACCTCTCAGGGTTTTTCCTCTGCCTTCTTCAGTATTATTTGTTCTGGGTGTTATGTATCTACCAAGTCTTCATGCTACTTCACCCCCCCAATACCCCCCCACCCCCGTGCTCTCCTGCCTGCTTCTTCCTTTTCTCCACCTCTGCCCCTGACCTTGTGCCTCAGCATTTCTGCCCTGTCTTTCTGAAGGATCTTCTTTGGTTTCCCACAGTGCTGCCATGATGAAACCTTAAGCTGACATTGTCCTATGCAAGGACCCTTGCACCTGTCCTTCATCTATGGAAGAAACTTCTTTAGCTTGGTCCTGTCTTTCTTATTTTTTGATGCATATAGTTTGCATTATGATATTTTATTTGGAAGGAATATTTTTCTTCCTTCAAAACCCATCAACTCTACTAGGGGAGGATTCAGCTTTTCATCTTTTATGTTTTATGACATTTAATACATGTTCTTTGCAGTTTTATTAGAGGGGAAATAAATATGGGTTAAATAATTGAATTGATGCATAACTCCTCATAACTCCTTTTGTGCTCATTGTATGGAAAAGCAAACAAATTTAGAACTTTAAGGGAACTTTAGAATAATTTATTCTGACTTCTTCATCTTACATATGAGGAAATCAAGTTCAAAGAGTTCTGCAACTGTTTTCAAGATCTCAGCATTTAAGAAGGAAAAATTAGGATAAGAACCAAAATTTTCTGATTCCTATGAAGTGCATTTATGTATTTTCAGTTATTCTGCTCTCTGCTTCTTAAATCTGTGAGATATTTTTGATGTTTTACATGGTAATGTATCTAGTTATTTTTTCAGTGATAACTATGTAATTGTACAGATATATTTAGTAGGTAAATATTGAAGAAAACAATAAGTTTTCCAGTTGGATAAATTTTTAAAGGACTATAACAACACTCTCAAAATCAAACATTGAAGAAGATAATAGAACTATTATAAACTAAGCTCTTTAAATAAATATATTCCTTTTCATTTCTAAGAAAGGACTTTAGGAAGAAAACTACCCTTAGAGGTCATTTAGAAAGACAACGCATTCAATAGCAAATTATTTTCATTTGCTTTAAAAACATGTACAAGCATGTGATTTATCATATATACTTTGGTTAAGTATCCCTATTGACATTCCTATTAGTTTAACTAATATAGTTCTCTGCCTGATTTTGCATATGTATTTTTATTCATGTGTTTTGCACATGTATGCATACAAAATACATAAATGTATGTGTTATCAATTTATCATGTTTGCCATTTTATACAGAGACTGTGTCTCCCTCTTTCAAAAACTGATAAACATTAAATGTCGGAAAGGTTAATAATAAGGTATAAGTAAATGTAGGAAATAATGCATTCTCAGAAAGACTGGAGCATGGTTTCTAACAGTCTTCTAATATATTTTGTTTAATAGGTAAATAAGATTTGTGGCCATCCAATCAGAACATCCACACAAAGCCCCCAGTGTTCTTTTGATGGGAGTAAAGAAAAGCATGGAATGAAGATCTCCGCAAGAAACGGTGAAGAGACACTTGCCAACAGAAGAAAGTAAGGCATTTGTTTTACAACCAGAAAGAGAAAAGAAAGTAAGCCATTAATTTTACAACAGAATAGAATATATTCAATTAAACAGAACAAAATACACTATTGAGGATGCAAAAGATCATCATGAATTATCTTTAAAATGCAGTTGTACTTCTATGTCATTAATTAGGTAGATAGGTTCAGTTTGTGACACCACAAAACTTTCTTTCTGTGACAAGGACGTTTTGTAAAATACAAGGTCTGGCAGGCCCTAGACACAGTAGCGCCTATGTCGTACAGCAAGGCGGTGTGGTCCAACAGATCTCTGGATACTTCTCATCTTGCTCAATAGGTACTTTATACTTGTAGCTTAGGGACTCCCCACTTCCCACTTCTTGCCACCCACAAAACTGAATTTTATACTAATAATTTTATTGAGAGGTAAAACCTCATGGTAAATGTTCTTCTCACAATCAAATAAAAGAAGTTTTAAATGTCACTAGTAGGATTGAGGATTGAATCTTTAATCTCACTTAATTTTAGTCTAACTTCTACCTGTCACTGGTGACTACTGTATTGGACAATGAAGACAGAAAATATGTTCAGTGAGTATTACTGAATGTTAAGCATCTATTTAAAAAATGGTTGGATGAAAAGAAATTTCTTTACTTTTTCCCTGGTATGGTAAAAATTGCTATCTGTTGATTGAAAATGACAAGCATTTCTACCACTGTGATCATCCTTATTCCATCTTTTAAATTAAAGTCTTTAATAATGTCCCTTTGGTTTGATAATTGGCAATTAAACTTGAAAACTCTATACTGGAGGAAACTATTATTTATTTTTGTGTTTCCTTGATTAGTATATTCTGGCAAATACTAGATTCTTATTGGATGTTTTGAGCTGAACTAAAATTCAGAATTCTATATCCATTTATTAAATCCAATAGTTTCCACAATAACTAACTGAGAGTTCAGTATTTTACACAGCATTACTCTCTGTAATGTAAAATCTGTGTCTTTCCTTTTGGGACAGTGCTTCTAATTTCCTCATTCTCTCCTCAGATGGGCTCCAGGTACTAAGATCTAGGCTAAGGCTGGCTATTTGCTCAACAGAATTAGCACTTTGTTTGCATGTAAAGTAGCTGTTGTTTTTTTCTCTAAGCATTTACAACAATCAGAAGTCATTTATTGCTTTTGAGAAGTCAGTATGCCTTCTCCAGGGTTGTTCTTATAATAAAATAAACTCAAGAAGATCTTAAAGTTATTAAAGGTCATTTGGTTTCACCACCAAAGCAACCCAGTTTTGGGAAAATCAGAGAGCTCCCTCTCCCAACGCTTAACAGTTTATTCACTAGCAAAACTAATCCGGTGCAGGTAAAATGTTATGAATGACTGAAACAATGAGAAGTTCATATGAGTGGAAAAATGTATACATGTGTACCTTGGACATTGAATAACCTCACTGTGGATAGGTGTCCCCAAAAGGGGCTACATAGACTTTTTCTAAAATGTCCAGAAAATGTCTTTTCCAATGCCTTTGTATATTCAAGTATGGTCAATACAGACCTGGTAAACCTTGGATAAAACCGCTGCCATTACTGAAAGGATACACATTATTTTGAGTTAAAAGCAATGAAGGCCTAGAGGCTAAGGAGAAACTCTTGACTCTCCCTTAGTCCTTTTTCTCTTCCATGTGATCTTAGAAGAGATTATCTCTTCCTTAGCTTTTACCCTGCCCATAGAAGAATGCAGTTTGAGGCCTGTTCTCTTGGTGCAGATTTGTTATTGAACATGTCATTTTCTCTAAGAAACCCATCTTTTCACCCTTAAAGATGGGGTCATCTCCAGCATGCTTAAACCCCCTGATCTTTCTTGATACCGCAGGTCCCTTAACACAGGCTAGAAATCTCTGGTTTTTCCCATTTTACTTTATAATTTATAGGTTGTGTGAATTCTTGCCTTGTTAATTCATTTTGGCTTTGTATCCTAGTAATCTCTCTGGTGTTAATTCGTTCGTTGTCCAGCCTTAGAAAACCAGAAGACTATGGCGATTTTCACTGGCACCCCGACATCACTAATCTCACAGGCTCATTATTTCCAGGTCCCTGACCTGCCAGTGACCATCAACCATTGACTGCAAACCAAGATAGATTCATTGTGATCTCATGCCACACAGAGTGCACCAGCAGGGGCAGAGCGCTTGAGCCACTTAAGCATTTCATTTTGACACATCTCTATGTCACTCCAGGATGCCTGAATGGGGCTTAATTGCCTTAGCACTATCTTCTGCTTGATGCCTGTATATTGTGCTGCTCATCCATTAACTAGACCTGACTTTTATTTGTCCTTCTTTCTCCATGAGCTGGACTGAGATCTATTTATCCTTCATCCACTAATCGTTCCCCATGAGACCATAAATTTCAATTGAAGCAGGTGGGGGGAAGTTGCAGGAGTAGGTGCTGAGAGTCCCTGGGCTTTTATCTATGCGTCTTTCTTGTAGTTTTGCTTGATTGAGCCTGATCTCCAGTAGATCACTTTGCTTGATGGGCAGTTCCTTCTAGATAAGCCTGGACTAGCGCCTGGCAGATCAGTAGCACTTCTTCCTCGTGGACAGCTCAGGTGGCAGAGTCACATGCTAACTTGTGGACCATTGTAGAGTTCCTGTCAGAATCTAGTGGCAAAACAACCAAATCAAGCAAGGAGAAACAGTTTTCAGCAAAAGAAGGGAATGCCTTTACTCCCAAATCCTTGAGGTCTTTACTGTGATTCTTCTAATGGTATGTTATCAATATCTCCATAGAGCATCTTTATTAGCCACAGGTACTTCCGGCACCATTGAATGGATGAGCTGGGTCAACTGCACTGAACATCAGAGCAACATGTATAATATAAAGATACAGAGACCTCGTTCTCATACAAAATCTCTTTTGGGGGGTCTCTCTGGTGGTATAAGTGGCTATCCACAGCCACTGCAGGACAAGTTTGATCCCCGGCTGGCCAGGGAGCTGATGCACATGGCACAGTAGACCTCTCCTGTCTCGCCTGCTGCTCTCCTCAGCAGTGTATTTCGTCAGTCTGCCTATTCTGCTCTCCACTCTGTCTCTGGTGAATCCTCTCATCCCCTGCACTTCTGGCCTATGCTCTAGCTCTTGTATGCATAAATAAATAAATCTTAAAAAAAAAAAGCTCTTTTGGGTTATAAATGGGTTAGAACAGTTTATCTGCATGTGTTATGTGTTTTCTCTAATATGCAAAGGGACTGAAAAAGTACTGTGTCTCTTCTTGAATTCTAGGTCATCTTATGTGCAGAATTTGCCTTTTATGTTAGAAGAATATCCCAGTAAGATCTAGACTCCTAGACATTTAGAAGCCCTGCTGACTGGTCAGGCACTTGAAATGTTAATGTTTTTCTCCACCAAAGGAATGTACATGTCCCTGTGGCAGCTGGGATAATGTGATCAATATTTTATTATCAGCCTGGTGGCGTGTAGGATGTGCAGATGACCAAGGCTCCTGTCTGTCATGGAATGGGAAATCGCTGTGAGGTATAACAGTGTAGAAGTTATTGCCAGCTACAGCTCATGTTTCCTTATTAATTGGGAAAGAGATAAATGCATTTTCCAAATTGTTAGCTAGGTAGCAAGTGGCAGAACAAGCTTTGATTTTACCTAGCAGACACCATATACCAAGGAGTATGTAATTGGAGTCACCTTCTGACTCAGTTTATGATAATTTAACCATTGTGCCAGTCCACCTCAGTGTGAACAGACCAGCCAAATAAGTGAGGTGAATGATGGAGTATTAGGATCACCATAGCTTTTATTTTTCAGAGCTTTGATGGTGACCTCAAACTCCACAATTCTCCAGGGATATTATCATTCATATATATATATATATATATATATATATATATATATATTTATATATTTTTCTATTTCTCAAGGGAGAAAGCATTTTGGAAATTATAATTAGGTCCTCGGTTGAGGAACCAAGGTTGTAACTGTGCAGGGTATGTGTGTGTGTCTGTTCCAACTACTGTTTAGAAATGTGAAATAAACACAGGTGTGTTTATGGACACTAGATGTGGTTTGACACAGAAAGTAAAAGTTCATTTTCATTTGACCTCTGTAAACCCTTTTAACTGGCAGACCTTATTCTTCTGCCAGTTATTCTGGGTCTTAACTCAGAGCTAGTAATAAATCGTAGAAAGCAAAAGTCTCCTCCCTAGTATCCCTGTAGAGGAGATGTGAAAGGAAATTCATACTATGCAATGTTTTTTTTTTTTAAGATTTATTTATGCATTCAAGAACTGGGGTGTAGACCAGAGGTATAGGGGTGAAAGGATTCACTAGAGACAAAGTGGGGAGCAGAACAGGCAGATCTATTGAAATACACTGCTGAGGGGAGTAGCAGGCAAGACAGGAGAGGTCTGCTGCACCATGTGGGTCAGTTCCTTGGCCAGGGATTGAACTCATGCCACAGTGGCTGGTGATAGCTTGATAGGCTGTGATCTTAACTCCTGCAGTTGTGCTTGTGGGGGAACTTTCTTAGGGGATCCAGCCTTATTGTAGTCCAGGGATTCTAAAGCTGTGAACTAGGTGAGAAATTCTGTGACATTTCCTTTTATGTCCTTAATTTCCAAGGATAATTTTTCTTTATTTAAATTCTCATTCTGCTCTTGTTTCATGGATGAGCTGTTTTATTACTCTAAAAATAAAAAAAAATAATTCCTATAATTTTACTTATCTGTTGAGCTTTTGGTTTATATTTGGAATATTTAGTAAATTTTTATGGTGATAAATATAATATTCTGAAGTAGTTGAGTTTAAGATTACTGTCTTGTTTTCTCTTGACCCTGTGTTTTTTGTTATTTTCCTTTCTTGCCTCCTTTTGAGTTGAACAGGTAAATATTTAATTTTTATATCCATAGCCTTTTAGATTTGCATTTATTTATTTTTCTCTTAATGGTTAGCATAGAGATCACAATGTGCATTAAAAATTTTTATTATCGACTTTTAGTTA